TGCAGGCGCAGACATTGAGAACTACTTCGCACACAAGGAGCCCGATCCAGACTGGGGATCGCGAAAATCACCCTTTCTCCCAAGTTCATGACAGGATAGTTACAGCCCTTCATCTCGTTCACTGTACGATCGTCAAAGACGCCAACTATGAGATACCTTTGAAAACACAAGTTGAATGGGATGCATACATAGCTATGATCGACCAAGTACGTTCCGCACGCCTTAGCCTTTTCAAAAGTAGCAGCATGACCAACATTAAACACGTCGAATGCTCCATCGATGTAGCTGAGAGGGAACATTCACGACCGAAGTGGACAGGTAGGAAGGACTCACACAATAATGTCATCACCCGTGGGTGACTTCCGTGAAGCAAATTCGGTAATGCGCTTCACCATATTCGTAACAACAATTTCCCGAAGACTATTGTCGCAATACTATTGCGATATCGGCCTTGAACACATAGTGCACTATCGCTTCCCAGGCCTCCTGAGCGGAACCAGCTATGATGAAGGGGACCCAGCACTGGCCTCGCGAAGACAGCCCATCAGTGAGGCGGACAGTAGACGTGAGTCGAAGCAGTCCGCCCAACTCGACGGTGTAGAGACGACACTTCACGACCAAGAAAAGCCTACCTCAGCAGCAACATCCCGCAGGCCCACCCCATGCATGGACATCATGCCGCCAATTACACTCACCACGATGCACTTGTGTCACGAAAAACATTCTGGTCTGATACAGCCATGATACCTCGTCTTATGACCTCCCTCAACACATCTGTCAATGAAGAGAAACAAACTGAAGAATTTTGGATCTTGCTCTCTTGAGCACCTTTCACTTACTCCTTGCGGTAACAGGCCATTCAAGATAGTTCGCGGTTGTGTTGGATTTACACTTTTTCCCGTGCGGGTTTGACTATGTTTAGTGTCACATCCAAAACTGACAATACGTGTTCATGTTTGACACAAACGAGAAATATCGGGCGCTAGACAATATGCATTCATCTTTGACACACCTTCGATTTGTTGGATCCAAGTTTGACAACACACATCCAACTTTGACACACCCTTGATTTATCAAGTCCAAGATTGACACTATCTTATCCAGGAATGACTATTTTGACAATACGCACCTGCCATGTACACGTTTCGAGTAAAAACTTTCTACCACGTGAATTATGGTGACCTATGCTGAGGTATGGACTCGTCGAGTCTCGAGGATGATGCTTGTGTTTGACACTTTGTGAAAAGTGCTTGTTTCGTGGTCGTGCACAGTCCCCGCAGTCGTAGAAGCGGATCCTGCCGAGGGGAGAGGAAGTACCATAGTGGAAGGTGTCGCTCCGTGCGCAAGAGCCGTGTTGTCGGCGTTGGATGATCCAACTTGGATTCTAAACTCACACGCAGAATTTTCGATTCAGGTCACTTGGGCCAGTAGATCTTGTAACAAGATGACTTCTGCGCTATCTTCGATTCACTGGGCGTGTTTCCGATCACCAAATAGGGACATCCTTCAGGCAAAAAGCCCTGATCCGTTCGCTAACCAAGTTTCACGCCAACAGCCAACGTGAGAACCAAACTCAATGCTCAAGGTGACATGCAGAAAATCTAGGAGCCCTGCGGCCCGTGTTAGCTTTAATTTTTTGGGGCGGGCGACTGAGATAGCAGATAGTGATGGGGAGCTTATGAGTCCTTCCTCCCATACAACTCGGGGGAAATGGACTCGATCCTCCATAGGAACGATTGTAGAATAGAAATGGAAGATTGTTGGAATGGTAGCTTAAGAAAATTTAATACATGACAAAAAGTAGGAATACACTACGAGTGTACGATATAGCTATTGATATGAGAAGTTGTTCATTGTTCTGCTACGTGCTGCTTATTGCAATAGTATTCATTTTCAATCAAGCTACGTTTACTATTACGGCTGATGTACCTGAAATTACATATAGTCAGCACAAGGGAAGTATCAAGTGAAAAGCCTACATAAGACGATTGATAGCGATTCGTTCCGCGATCGTAGCTGATGTTAGATAAGGGTAGTCGCTTTCTACGTCACGGAGGATACCCAAACTCTTCGGGACTTCATTGACTTGCGTCATCTGCCACAACCATCAATATTCACGGACGAGAACTGACACTCACTGTTCCAATCTCATCGTCGGAAGCACACCTGGGTCGATGGGAACCTACCAACAGCCTCACAACAAATCTATACTGTATAGAAGACGGACTTATCGAACCCTGTGCAACAATGCTGATATTCATAGTCCTAATCAGGTCCTCGGTGATCTCCACAGGGGCGCCAATTATAACTTCATCGACATGCTTGCATGCACTCACGTTCAATACCTGATGGGAACGGATAGGCCGTAACAACAGCTCAATGATGATCTGTACGCGCTCGAGTAAATTCATCACAGGGTAGTTGCCACCCTTCATTTTGTTGACTGTTTCATCGTCGAAGATGCCCACTAATAAGTACCTGAGATGGCGATTCAAGTCATTCAAGACTGTTTTCATATCTAGACGATTCCTCAATTGAGACCGTCCGTCTACCATGAGCGTAACGAAACTCACGTGCCAAGAGCCTTCGCCTTCTCGAGAGTTGTTGCATGTCCAACATTGAACATATCAAAAGCTCCATCAACGTAGCTGAGATAAGTAAATAG